CCCGCCTGCACAGCGGCCAGGGCCACCCGCAGTTCCACACCCAGCGCCCGCCCCCGGCCGCTGCGCTGAGCTGACCGGCACCAACCGCCGGGTCCCCGGTCACCGCCGGCACACCCCGGCCAGGGGGGTCACCGCCCACCGGACAATGAACCCCTGGGTTACCACCCCGCCCCGTGACCCCGGTCACCACCCCGCCCTGTGACCCCCTCAGTCACCAACCAGTCCGAGGAGTCACCTCCCCTTCCTCACCAGCCTGCCCAGGGAGGGGTCACAGGGTACAGAAGCCCCTGGGTCACCGCCCCCCCCCCCCCCTCCACCGTGTCGGCCATGCGCACAGTGCGGTGCTCAGTCTCTGACAAGCGCCGGTGACAGCTCGGACTCCTCACTGACATGGGATCAATGGCCACCGGCCCGCTGCTGTCGGATCAGCCCTCGTTCGTTATCGGAGATACGATAAGGACGATCCGACTGCGGTGAGACCTGACTCACTGGCTGAGACGAGCACTTCTATAGTAGTCAACGATCTCCCGATGTCTGAGCACGCGGCCTGCGTTTTTACTTTTTAGCTGTCGAATTCCTTTCGATTAAAATAAAAGTTCAGAAAAATATGCTTACCACACGGCAATTGATCATGCTTACCTAGCTTCGTGCTCGTCTCGCTAAGCTAAAAATCGACAAACGAAATTAGTCGTATAAGCTAAAAGCAGCTTAGCCATTGTGACGCAACAATGCATGACGTAGACTGAAACTATTCTTTTTCATGTGTTTTTATACAGGCTTTATGATGGGTTGTCCTAACAGGTCATGTCGATGCACTACAAAGAAAAATGGCGAATTTTCAATGGAAACGACAATGCAGTTTGAAAGTGATACCTGTCGTTAATAGTGCAAATCAATTTGACCTTTGAGACATTGTAATCGGTACACTAGGCCAGAGGGTAAGCGATCATTGATCAACAAATTCGAGTAAAGGAACGGATTAAAACGGGTCAACGGCCCAATTCCTTACCTACATGTTAATTAATTGAGTGAACAATAAAAATAATAATAATAATGGCTAAATATGAAAACATGAGTAAAAAAAAAACACCAAAATCGATAATCACGAAATCATAAATATCGATTATAGTGATTGACTATTAAACTTGTGAAATTTGGGTTACAGACCGAATATGGTCCATGTCGACAAACATTGTAAGTATGGGCAAGCTAATGAAGAAGAAGAGGTGTTTCCGTTACTACAACACTGTAGGTAAGTATAGGCATTAGGCAAGCTAAGCTATGAAGAAAAAAAGATGTTTTTGTTGCTACAGCGAAATGATTTAGAGAGCGACTGCGTTCCTGAAAAAAAGTATGCGGACTTGTAAATAAAAAACAAAACAAAAAACAGTGGAATGCGAAAAAACAAAAAACAAAAACAAAAAGGGATACGTTACCATAAGCATGCCGCACTAATTACAAAACAACTATAATATAGCGCTGAGGAATCATTTCTCCGAAGTTGAATGTAGAAATCCAGAGCCACCTCATATGCGCTATAATAAAGCACATGCCATACAACACCATGTGTATAAAGTTGTCCCATAACTCTTGGTCCATCCGAGGCCGGCCAAGTCTGAAGGGCGACGAGCATCTACCAAGCGGTGGACACCGCTCCCCGGCGGCGCTTGAATCAACCGGCGGATTCGGGTCGGTTGAGCATGCGGCTCACGGCCGTGAGTCGGGTGGCCGGTGCACACAGCTGCCGGAGTCTCCATCCAGTCAGAGACAATTGTCGGAGCCGCGGCGCACCATGAGGTCAGCGAGATTAGCGCACTAAGCCGCCGCCTGACCGTGGCCGCCGCTCGGCCCGGGGGAGGGGGGGGGGGAGGGGGAGCGGTGCCGGGGATGGACCGGGTCCCCGAGACCGGTCTGCTCGCTCTCGGGAGACGACGGGATTAGACCAGAGAGTCCATGAGAGAAGAGTCTGACTGACCCAGCGTCCACAGGATGCGGCGAGAATCTGAGAGGCGAGAAGAGAGCCCGATATTGGCCTAGCGTTCACAGGAGGCGCGGGCTTAGACCAGATTCTAGAGGAGGAGGACGGAGCCCAAGATCCTGATCCAGCGTCCACAGGATGCAACGAGATGAAAGCTGAGAGCCTGATACTGATCTAGTTTCCACAAGATACGGCAGGATTAGACCAGGGAGTCCACTGATAGTCCACATCCAGGACTGACCTAGCGTCCACAGGATACGACGGCATTAGGCCGGGAAGTCCACTCAGGCCAGCACTGACCTACCATTCACGGGATTAGACCGGCTGTAACCAAGAGTCAAGGGCTGACCTTCCTCTACAGAGGACCCAACATGGAGTCAGATAAATGGCTTGTTTTGCATGAGCTGATAGACGATGCATTCTACCAACAAAATCTTGGTGCTTCGAGCAATGGTCGTTATGCAAAGATTCTCTAGGTAGGTTGTAACCTTCCATTATCAGCAATTTTACATTGACCTGATGAGAAGCAAAGTGAGACCGGAAACATTCGAAAATCGATCATCTGCTTGGACTGGTAGTGTGCGCAAAGCAGTCCTTATCATCAAATCCTTATCATCATTATCATATCCTTATCATCATATCCTTATCATCATAATCCTTATATCCTTATCATCGTTATCCTTATCATCAAAATTTTTAGGTAAATCGCATTCCAACATCAAACTTCCTCTTGCTGACAGAGAAAATATCTCGGTACGCTCTTTAGACGAAAGTATGAAAACTGTTCAACAATCACATCCAAATATTTCAACATCGTTTTATCTTCGCGTGTTTAAGCTTCAAGAGATGCCGTTTAGATGTGCAACGCAGATGGCCACCGCCCACTTATGAAGGCATGTCCTTACAAGGGGGCAACGACACGAGAACAAGCCTTTATACGCTAAATCATCAACATACAAGATGCAAGCATATAGTACGGTAAGTCTAAAATATTTGAAAGTGAGCATGTCTGAGATGTAATCCCTCCCTCTAAATGCACGATAAACATGCTGTGCTCTCTCGCTTTGCAACAGATATGCAGTAACGGTTCGCGTTTGGCGTCCCACAAATACTACAACGCCGTTAGTTAGTCCCGCCGAATTCACCGTTTAAAGTTGGTCCCGCCGAATTCACCGTTTAAGGTTAGTCCCGCCGAAATCACTGTTTGCTTTCTAAGACACTGTTCAACGAGGTCAAGCTGAGGACGATAGGAAGAGGTGGCACACACAAGGGCCGCTGCCAGCGGATATGCTGGCCAGAGACAGATACTACGTAAATTAGCATTGACACTCGGCTCAGAATAGCGGTTCGGTCTGGACCGTCACCAGTCAGTCTCCAGCCTCTCCGGAGGACCATATCATTCTGGTCAGTGTTCATGTCACTCGGCTGGCTCACTCCAGTCGGCTATCAGAACAATGCGTGTTACGCAACAGAGCGCTATAAGGCCATTGTTGTCCCACTGCGATCACACCATATTATAATCTGTCCGGCCGCTCCGCTGTCCGACGGACTGACACAACGAACAACGTCTCACTGACACCGGTCCGGTGATAAAGGCCCGTCTAAGCGCGACACAACAAGGGTCTCACTGAGGAGCCGTGACGCGGCATGACACCCTCCGCCCGATCACCGGTCAGCCGGCCTAGCTCCGCTTATAGGGCGACCTGTGTATGGGGCACGCCCACGGCCGGAATACAACTCACGGCACTGCACTGGTTGCTATTGTAATGTACAATTGTCTACGATTCAATGCATTTCTTTCGACCTCGTACGATAATGTGCCAGGGTAGCGACTAGCCAGTAGCAGCGACTGACGAGAAGCCTCAAGCATCCTTACTTCAGGCAACATAAGTCTCCCAGAACAATTGTGACGCAGAGTATGTATTATTCACCGTGGGTTCCTGGCACTGACATCTCTGAAACTAGGCACCTAGACAGATGTCTTCAGCGCAGTGCCATCCACTCGGCTCACCCACTCGTACACTAGGACAGCATTTACATAAGTCTTTCCAGCCGGACAGGAATTGCCGACCGCAATAAACCAGGCCTATAAATTGAATAGCCATAGGGTTGGCTGGCATTAGTCAGACTAGGTCAGGACACGACGCAGCCAAGATGGAATACGACGGAAACTCATTCGTCGGTGAAAGACAGGAAATAAATATATCCTGATGCGCGTAAGAATCAATACCGATTATTACCAGTTCACTGCCAGGTCACAACCCATCGATTTGCCGCAATTAAACTATGCAGAGCACAGCAAGGGCCACAGAGTAGCGTTGGCTTCCCGCAGGCAAGGTCAAGATCCAGTGATCCAGCGAGGTCAGACCGCAGAGCGGTTCAGCCACCCTCCCTTATCCCAAGTAGGCCACTTCGCGACGATTGCCCACTGCAAGCTGACACCCTATCTTTACGTTTCATCAAGTAAGCGCTGATTCGAATTCATTAGCTGTCAACTGCTGGCTACTCGCGCATCAAGGCCAGTGCCAGGAGGACAAAAGGTCATCATCTCGCCCCACTTAGCTTCTCCCCACTTATCTGAACGCCACTGTCAGGTCCCGGCGGATTAGAAGAAACTGCGGAGTGTGGTCTGAGCTGAATTCATGACCGACGCACGAGCTGATCGGTCCTAACTGACCAGGGGTGCAGGTGATCACAGCTGCGCACACTGCCCATGCCGTCCGTAAAATTAGCCTTGAAATCGTTCAGGCAGTCGCTTCAGGCTCAGATACGCCGCATTTAACTGCGCATAGAACTCCGATGATGTAATACAAAGTGGAAGCTGACCTTTAAACCCATTAAACTATGTTTATTGGACATCCTGAATACCCAAACCCATGTGCTTGAAGTCTTGTATTTGTACGTGATTACTTTTTCCATTAGAATCGCTCATGGCGATCATCTGTTTGATATTTTGTCCATTCTAAATCTCACCAACCACTTTCTTCTGATCGATTCACGCCCCATATTCAAAATTAGGCAGTTTTAGCAACAAGTGTATTGTTACTTCGCCATACAAAACATACTGCCATGTGAACGAACATGATAAGTTCGATGATACAAAATGAGCACCTGGTAATACAATATGTACACATTAGGCGTGGTCGAACCACATGATGAGGGAAGTGTCTCGGATCTGCTGAGCCCCGCGCAGACGCGGGCCCCTGACGCTCGGGCGGGCGGCTCAGCGGACCGGCAGAGGGCGGTCAGGGGTGGCGGCGGGGTCACTTTTTGGCCGAGGCGGCGGCGGCGGCAGCTGCCATCTGCCGACGCTGTGCCAGCAGCTGAGCGCGCCTCTCCTTCTGCTGCTGCCGCCACTTGATCCAGCGAGCCACCTGTACGAGTCGGCACATGGTGAGTGGGCTAGACCGCGACCGGTGAGACGTGGAGTACTAACACGGATAGACGAGTTATGCGGTCGACCACAACGCTACACGAGCGTCAAAAAAGGGTCACAATAGTAACGGCAGGGATAGTGAATGTTGACATCTGCACGTATGAAAATAATAACTGACGAGGCAACTGAGTCAGCCCATTGTGAAAATAGCATCATCATAAGTGGGACTGCATGAAAGCTGGACAAAGCCTTATTCATAGTCCCACAACAGATGCACACTGAGTCACTGACCATTCAAAATTGGCTAAATGAAAAGCAAACAACAGAGAATGCTAGAAAAAAAAATAGTATGAAAATAACCGATGGATGGCCCAGAGACAGCAAACAACTATCATCTCCCATAGTACGCTTTCAGACACACTGTGCCATCCCTTAGCTCACAGCACCCACCTCGGGTACATTTCTGTTTCCTTTGAGCTCCAGTTGCTGGTAGTACGCCTCCCGTAGCACCTTGATGGCTTGCAGGTTGGCGTACGGTAGTCGCGTGATGGGGTCGAAATACCGCGCAGGCAGCCTTGCGATAAAAGGAAGTGGTAGCGTGTAACACCATGAGGCCGGCAAAATCCGTCCACTAGTTTATCAATGAATAAACGAATGGCATTAATGTAAAATTTGCAATTTGATAATTAATATATTCATAAATTTATTTATTTCTTAATTTATCATTTCAACTATTTTTTTTATTCCTCAATTTTTAGTCAATTATCATTTCATATTTGGTAGTTGATGGTATTTTTTATTTAGATCCATTAGGTCGCAAACGAGATTTTAAAAAAGCAATAATAAGGTCGCTATTATGGCATGAAACAATTTCGTGAGCACGATATTCAGCGATGGACAACAAAGCGTCCATTAGAAGCAAATATTTCAAGCGCACAATGCTATTTCTAAGTCGAGCTGATGGAACACAAATTATCAGAATCAGTTAATCGATACAAAAGTTCTGAAAAAAAGAACGTAAAATAACCGTTATGAGTAGGAAGCATTAACCAAAAGGCAGGCACCAAACAGCACCCATGCATATTTACAGCAAAAACACCGGTGCGTCCCCGGCCGTTATGAACGTTTTGGTCTCACGACCCCTGTTTAACGCACTATCCTTGTGATAGCCATCGGACACCTGTTATCCTGCTGCCATTCCGCGAACTGATGTCATCAGCCGTGGAGTGGGAAATGGGACATGCGGGGAACTTCATACATACAGTCGGGAACAGAAGGCCCGCGCCCAGACTGTTTCCCTGACGATTCCAGCGCGGACTTACCATGCCGTCCGCGTGAGTAAACGTGCACAGGAGGCGGGCACAACGGCGGATGGTACCGTGCGGGAATCACGGAGACACGGGATATGGTAAACACAGACAAAGTAACAACAATGGATGGCGTGGTAACAGCCCTGCCTGTACCGGCCATTATTTAGGAAGCAAGCGGACGTTAAAGCATCACGCGTGGAAATTCCCGTTAGCGATAGGCCACTCGCCCAGGGAGAAAAAAAAATGCTCACTGCAGTGCCTACTCTAGATTAACTGCCTGAACGATTGCTAAGGACGTTTGTCGATTGGTAACAGTGCCTTGATTTTTTTTTTCAACTACGCTAACGTGGGGTGAGACTAATTTTGCGGCATATCAGTTATAAATCAATGGTAGAAAATGGAAGTCCTTCGAAACGTCTCTGTGTGAGAATCGCTATAAGACAGGATCGATGACATATGTATCGACATTACACCACAGCTAAATGCAGAAATAACCTCCGCATGATGCATTCGAAGTACTTTCGGTATCACTACAGTGACTTAACGACGTCATGTGCCGCCAACTGGTCCAAAAACCGAGTTAATAAAAAACGTCCCCCCTCGCTCGATATGTTCAAATCGGACCAGCGCGGCGCATCAGCTGCGCCAATCAAAGATCTTGCCATTTTGCCCTTCAATGCAATGTGCCGATGATCGTTAAATTCAGAAACAAACAGCGATCTTGGCCAAAAGCGCAGCCAAACTTTATGTACCTATAATATGTCTTTGGAATGAAGGATATCGGACATCATACTGCACCAGATCATGCATGTCCCGTAGCTCCGGTCCCGTAGCTCAGTTGGTAGAGCGTTGGACTCCGCGTGGTGAGAGCATGCGTTCCCGGTTACAACAGTCCGGGTTCGAAGCGCGACGGGCGCTTGACATTTATGGGCCTCCTGACAGGTATGGTTGCGGTTGGTGGCAGGCCGTAGCCAGGCGAAGTCAGTGAGGGGACCGGCCGTGCGCGGCTATGTGCGCACGTTAAACTTTGGACTCTAAATTCTGCCATATAACTGGGATTGCGCGATCGGAGGGTAGAGGGCAGGGTCACCGCAACAAGCTTCGCTTAGCGGTGGCTCTGTCCTTGTGAATCCTTCCCATCATAAGGTTCGAACTAAATTTATTAAAAAAAAAAATGTGTGTTAGTGCATTAGGGATGCAGTTTCTCGTCACCCATGAGCGTTTGAGACGTAAAGTTCGCCCCAAGCACATGATCCGTAGAGACCGAACCTACCACCGATGGAAGAGGGCCGTCACAATGGCCGCATTATAAGGATCACCCACCTCCTCCATGCCACAAACTTATAACTCCAATACTGGAACTGAATAAAATGATAACAGTGTAAAAGGCATTGCAACAGAATGTGCACCGAAGCCAGCAAGTCGATCTTGCAGGTAACATGCCGGCCCAGCCCCCCTATCGAAGCACTCCTGCGGAAGTCACCGGCACCCATTCCACCCGCTACCGCCGCGCCGCGGAGGAGCCCCGAGAACTTACCTGGTGATGGGACAGATGTTACGCTGCCGGGGCTTGGGCTTGTCGCTGGGGAAATACTTCTCTAGCATGGACGGCTCGGAGAACGATATGAAGGTGCGCTCGCAGTGTCCGACCATCTTGGACTCGTACTTGACCTCGGGGACCGGCAGCACCGCCGCAGGCTCAGAGAACTCGATCTGCGCAGCGGAGAGCGAGAGGTCATAACGATGCTGATGCGGGAGAGGATCGAACACCAGCAAAAACATCACCGGCATGCTGATAGAGGAAAATACTATTGCTCGGCATATGAGAAAAATCTAACAATATTGCAAGGACCAATTTGAGGCTATTGAAGAGTTTATACTTCGCATTCAATGCATATTTAAACCGAAGAGATAAGGTTTTTACCATTAAATCACATTCTGAATAAACGGCGATCACAAAAGAGGATATAGCGTGCCGCATTATGCCCCAGCTTGCTGCACTAAAAGCTCCAATACGTGACCCTTTTACGTGTCGGCTTCCAAACATCGTTGTTTGCCATTATCATATCAGCCATCGCTGCATTGTCTCTAATAACCCCAGCGGTGCTTGACCTGGATATCGTCGAGCCTCATGTCCCCCTGGATGGGCGTGGGCGGCTCGACGACGGGCACCTCCTCGATGAGCGGCATCCGCACCGAGTGGTAGCGTATCATCGGGCCCGTGTACTCCTTCTTGATCGGCTTCACCTTCTTCTTCTCAATCTCCAAAAGAAGGTACTTCTCTGAGGAACGTGAGGGATCAGCGTAATTACTGCTTCAGGTTGTGGTCGAGAGCCTAAATTCGTAATAGCGTACTCTTGTCAGTGAAGGACAAACAGTAAGATAACCATTACTTTAATTGAGGCAAGAAATGCGCGGAATAATGAACACAGAACCCGCTTTTAAAATCATGTTTTTTTTTGTAACAGTAACGTAATTTCAAAAAAGAGTGAACTTTTCAAGCATAAAGTTAGCTGATACAGACAAACACAGCGATAAATTAAATAATAATACTGCAGCGCTCTCAGATATTAGACAAAGCAACAGACATTTTCGAGCTTCCAGTTGTTGGACCGCAGGACGGAGCACTAACCGAGCGCCTTGAGGTTCTCCTTCTCGGTCTGTTTGGCCTCCTCGAGTATTTCCTCCTGTGTCATCTTCCTCTCCGGCTGGGACTGGCGCGGCACCCGGCGCCTCTCGGTCAGCTCGCGCTCCCTCTGGCGGCGGGCCGTCTCGGCCGACTTGGCCAGCGTGGAGCGCCGCCGCGCCGCCACGACTGCCGGCGCGCCGGGTAAGGGGAGTCACACGACGCCGCGGCACAGGACGGCAGACGGGCAAACATGACTGAGGAGATGGTCATATTTTACAGCACCACTAAACAGCAGGGCTGTCTCGCAGCTCAGAAAAATCGGCACAAGCTAATGTGTGCACAGAGATAGTCAGAATTGTGGTAAGAGGGATCCAGAAGACGGATAAACATTAAACATTAAACATTAAAACAATTGGCACTTACTACCAGCGCTCGCTTTCTTCGCTAATTTCTTCTTTTTCTTCTTCTTCGCTTCTTTATCTGCCTTTGACGTTGGTGTGCTTGAAGATGCCGCCGCTGGCTTCTTTTTGACAGGTTCCTGTAAAACAATGTGAGGTGTCATTAAGCTTAGCCACAAAATAAAATGGCGTGAGATGCCAATTTCATTTTATGAAGTAAAAATAAGCAAAAACTCTAGAGCGTTAACATGTGTCACAAAGTTGTCCCTGGTTTTAGACACCAGTTTCTAACCACTCAGTACCTACCTTGTACGCTTTGGTGACGACGCCCTTCTGCGCGCGACGGGGCCGCTTGCTGTCGGCATCCTCCTGGTCCGACTTGACTTCGTCCGTCTCGTCAATGTCGAAATCTGAGTCGACCACGTCCTCGACCTCCTTCTCCGACCTGTAGACAAACAATCAAACAAACGAGTGGTAACGATTGCAAAATATGGAGACTAAATGCAGCAGCTGTAATCAGTGATCGGCTAAAAACATCAATTAATGCCAAAGGGTTAGCATTTTAAGGTTCGGTTTCAATATATTAAGTTTCCGTACAGTGTATTAACTTTTTGTAGCGATCTAATTCGGTTGATTTAGCGTATGGATGGATAGCAGAGCTGGAAGCCTGCCAAGGGAAGCGGTGAAACACCTTACCGCCTCGTCATCGCCCCTTCACAGATGGTAGGTGTGGAGTTGACAGTGTTTACGATACAGCAGTAGATGGCAGCACGGTCCTTCTGAGCCTACTCAACATTATTCGGCCCGCTCTCGTCAGGTGCCAACTGGCGAAATAGAGGAACCGAGTGGTCCACTGCTTTTCGGCCTTAAAGTCAGAGTCATCGAGCCAGTAGGCAAGTGTCTCGCCCACTAAGCGACAGGCAGACACGCCACGAAAACTTACTCGTAGTCCTTATCCTCCTCCTCTTCGTTAAAGCCTCCATAGGTGGTGGAATAAAAGTCATCCTCTTCTTCCTCTGTGATCAGTTTGTTCATGCGGTTTCCCGCCGTCTTCCTCCTTTCCCTCGTCAGAGCAAGTGCCATCTTGAGTCCGTTCAAATCTATATTATGATTTTATCCTGCAAAACACAACACATATTTGTTACATGAGGACGTTCCGAGGTAAAATTGTTAAGAGCGAGAGCATATCAGTCTTTTCAACTTAACGGAAAAATCAAAGTAGGTTGGTATCTATTTGCGGCACAGCTTGGCCGGACCCGTGACGCTTTTAAAAGGCCTATACCTCAAGTCAACCGCTGGACCGATTTATTAAAAGACTTTTAGTAGGTTAGCTTCATGCATTCTACCAATCATTAGAGTGATCCTGATTCATGTGGATGACCCCTACCGCACATCCCATGTGCAAAAGGAAGAGGTGTCCAGTTTATTCTCATTACAATAACTTGGCAAAATACATACTGCCTACACTATATATGGCCTTGCTGCCTACTGGCAAATGTGGAATGTTGGTAGGCACATACCAAGATTACTAGAACATATACAATGCACATACAATACAATGCATTTTCGTGCATCACGATTGGGATTCTACCCCACGTGAGCATGTGAGGGGGTTGCTCCCACATCTCAGAAATCGGTGTAAGGTTCTTGGAATCGCGTGTAGCGCTCTCAGCGACCCCACGAGGGGCTTCGAAAGTTCAGCGTTGCCCAGGACCTCGGATTACGAATTTTCACTGGGTGGGCAAATACCAAAAGCTTGCCCGCAGACCAAATTATGTATTTTTCGCTGTATTTTTGTTGCCAGGGTGTTCCTAAAGAACAGGGATATTACCCACATATGATGAAGGTTTTGTAGTATCGCGGCGGGTCACGGAATAACAGAGTTCAATTTTGAGCCGCCAATGTAGGTATTTTCCTGAATGCAGTATACGACACAGGCCAGGGTGATAGCGTTCACTCCCGACAGTAGCTGTAACTGGCCGAGACTGACCGAGAGCGAGAGCGAGAGCGAGAGCGAGAGCGAGAGCGAGAGCGAGAGCGAGAGAGAGAGAGAGAGAGAGAGAGAGAGAGAGAGAGAGAGGGAGAGGGAGAGGGAGAGGGAGAGGGAGAGGGAGAGGGAGAGGGAGAGGGAGAGGGAGAGGGAGAGGGAGAGGGAGAGGGAGAGGGAGAGGGAGAGGGAGAGGGAGAGGGAGAGGGAGAGGGAGAGGGAGAGGGAGAGGGAGAGGGAGAGGGAGAGGGAGAGGGAGAGGGAGAGGGAGAGGGAGAGGGAGAGGGAGAGGGAGAGGGAGAGGGAGAGGGAGAGGGAGAGGGAGAGGGAGAGGGAGAGGGAGAGGGAGAGGGAGAGGGAGAGGGAGAGGGAGAGGGAGAGGGAGAGGGAGAGGGAGAGGGAGAGGGAGAGGGAGAGGGAGAGGGAGAGGGAGAGGGAGAGGGAGAGGGAGAGGGAGAGGGAGAGGGAGAGGGAGAGGGAGAGGGAGAGGGAGAGGGAGAGGGAGAGGGAGAGGAGAGAGAGAGGAGAGAGAGAGAGAGAGAGAGAGAGAGAGAGAGAGAGAGAGAGAGAGAGAGAGAGAGAGAGAGAGAGAGAGAGAGAGAGAGAGAGAGAGAGAGAGAGAGAGAGAGAGAGAGAGAGAGAAAGAGAGAGAGAGAGATTTTGATCCCCGTCTTGAGTTGAGATGCTAGTTTCAGAACGTTTCGGCCAGTTACTCTCCGCCCGTCGTCAGGTGTGCTTTGGTTGGTCCTTAGAGAGACCCTGGGTCATGGGTGTTGTGGCGTTGCGCCGTACGCGTCATACCTTATCGAAAGCTCCTATGGTCAGCAGGAAATGATCTTGGGTTGCCCCGGTGATAGGCGACAGTTGTAACTACTCCACCACTCGTGGCAGATATAGCGGCCAAACAAACGAACATCTCAACTCAAGACGGGGACGAAAGTCCGACACCTAACATCAGTGTCAATGGGATAAGATTAAAATGCGTCTTTTTTCTAGACCGACACCATTCTAAACATGTTTAAACACCTATCAACAATTCAACATGACACAGTAAACTGGAAAATGGCACCTGTGACCCTTCCTTGCATCCCTGAGGTCATCTCAGGTCATAAAAGGGGGCCTAACAGTTTTTTGCTAATAAATTCTGGTAGGGTAGGTGCATGCTAAAGTGATGATAACACATCTGTTGTGCTGAGGTTGACTGAACTGATCGACTGACATACAAAATGACCTTTTCCGGTCAGGTCATGACCTTGACCTGAGGTCAAATTTCAAAATGACCTTTCAAGATCAAACCCTATAGCCTATAGGAGTTATATAGCCTTGGATCAAACTATAGTTTATTTGATGAGTCTTGATAAGAAGAACATGATGGCTGGCAAAATAAATGCCACAACTTTCTTGAGTAAAAATTTTTACTCAAGAAAGTTATGACAAACCTTTTGTTTCTGCAATAGCTTAAAAAGGTTTTTTCATCAAATGGCTATCATAGGAGTTTTAGCCCTCTGGAGCATTTTGCCCTCTGGAGATGCTAAACCATTGAACTGAGGTCAAATCTGAGGACTACTTTGGCAAAAGAGCAGTGAAAGAGCTATTGAATGCTCTTTTCCGCGGCGCTGCAGCTCTATTGGTTCCCAAGTTATGCGCCAGATTTTTGAAAATTGTTCAAAAACTCCAAATTTGACCTTTTATGACCTCTGGCGACCTGAGTTTTGACCTGACCTTATAAAGACCAGGAATTCTCTTCATTTAGATGGTCTTTCCAATGCTGCTTACTGCATGTCACTATGTGGCCCAGGAGCTGAGTTAGACGGGGGTGTTCATACATCCCTGGCCCAGCGCAGAAGGCACTAAGCAAAGCACCTACCCAGCGTGGGTAAAACTGCTCAGTCAGTCCGTCCCTGTCTTTGCTGGGTGGGCAAAAACACTCCACTGGGTGCCCACCCAGTTAACGTGTTATCTGAGGCCCTGGGGTGGGGGATAGAATTAAAAGAATGTCGCCTTATGCCACAGGTAGGTAGATATTTAAAAAGCAGAGTAGAGAAAAAAAGGGTAAGAAGCAAGGCACAACAACAAGGTTGGTTGGTTGGTTTGGGTTAAGCACCATATCCGGTGCACCAAGGAGCTAACCGGAACTCTCATGCTGTTCCGAGTATAAAGAACAACATTTAAATCATTTTTCCAAACCCAAGGTGAAGGCCAAGATATATAAAAACACTGTGAAGGCGATATACACGATAAATACCTTCAACCCCTTCTTGTTCTAAATCCACAGCCCCCTTCTCGAGATTGTTTACGACAGATGCGAACAGGCAGAAAATGCCAAATTTGTTTTATTTGATGACGTAATAAACAAATTTCTTAAGTTTTGCGCACTTTTCTGGTCGATAGTGAGAATGAACTATTTTGTTTTATATATTTGAATAGTTTATAATATATTTTGTAATTTTTACACTGTTTTTAAGGAAAATAAACAAAGCAGTATTGCTTTTATATCATTAAATGCGAAGGAATGTAACCAATAGAGAACGCATGAGATCATAGCACACTTAGCAATATTTCATGTTATTGGATGTAGGCGCCTCCTTATGTGTTCTGTATTTGCGTTACATGAATTTTCTTCTGACAACAAACGTGAAGTTGCCGGTCATTCGCCATATTTGCCGCAAGTCGTTTGCTCCGTCATCACAAGCTAGCTGTGTACCGCGTCATCGTCGCCGTTGTTCAAGTTCTTGTCGGGTCAGAGGTCGGCTTTGTGATTGTTCCGTATTTTTAAATTTACTTAAATAATAGGTAGCTGAATATCTATAGCGCCTATCAGTGACATCTTATTTTCTGCTTGGCTCGATTGCTGCTGAGCCTTGCTATCTTCAACCGAATTTGAATTAAGCACTTATAAGGTCATAACTTTCAAGCAATAATGGCAGAGGGCAAGAAGTAAGTACTTCTGTGATTCTCTTAACAAAGTATAATTTAAAACACAATGTGTTGCATTCTATCAATAGTGTTTTCTTCTCAAATAATATCACAGTGTCAAGATCTCAATCGTGTTGGTGCAGACGCACTGAGCTGTTTCAATTGTGCAGTGCGGTGTGGATTTAGTGTGGTATGTCACAGAATGTAGTGCATGAGCATAGAGTGGTGGCTGCTGTATATGGTGCTGTATAGAAGTGTTGTGCGGGTGTACCGTTGGGTAAATGTGTAGATGCAGTAAACAATCTAACCTGACCAAACCTTACCCATTGACCTAAGACCTTGAACCTATCAACCTTGAACCTACAAACCTAGAGGCTTGAACCTACCAGCCTAAAACCTACAACCTACCAACCTACTAAACCCTATACAACCTACCAACCTACAATCCTACCAACTTACCAACCGGACTTCATCCCTACAAATACCCATTGTTGTCCAGGAAAATGATAAATGGGCTACACAAGGCCAGTAGGGTCAGTGATGCCACTACTGACCCTACTGCAACCACAAAGTGGCAAAAGTGTGGATGAGCTACACAGCTAGAGTGATCAATTATACATTAGCCCATATCAACTAGGCTGGAAATATACATTGGACCATGCCAGACAAGACTTATGAGTTGTTAACCATAAAATGCAGAGATTAGCTAATGATCTGCACTTTTAATGTATGTAAAAGGCAATAGATGGTGAATTATTCCCTGACTGACCCCATTGTGTCCCCTGGCCCTGTGCATCATTGACCCAGACAAAGATGTGCTAGCACAGCAGTTATGCATTGCCCTAATTACTTAGAGCCAGTGCCACACCACCACCAAGTCTGCCAGATGTTTGGGTGAAGATTAAAAATGTGTTACATATTCCCATGTCATTTGTTTTAATTGTTGCCTTCCATCCCTCACTTCACTTTAATTTATATCAATTGATAGCTCTTCCATTTGGAACCACTTCATTTTTATGGCTCTGGAAAATATGCGCTGTTTCCAGCTGATGAGTTACTGCCAAAAGTTGACCAACTTCCCCAAGGTGAGATGCAGGGGCTGTTGTGTGACGTCGCGCCGACCCCTGCCCGCAGCGAGGACCTGGCGACGGCGATCCTGCGTAAGAAGGAGCGGCCCAACCGGCTGCTGGTGGACGAGGCCGCCAGCGACGACAACTCGGTGGTGGCGCTGTCGCAGGCCAAGATGGACGAGCTGCAGCTGTTCCGCGGTGACACCGTCCTCCTCAAGGGCAAAAAGCGCAAGGAGACCGTCTGCATCGTGCTCGCCGACGACACCGTCGCCAATGATAAGGTAAGTTCGGGCTCAGCGTCGGTGTGTTTTCGTGTGGCGTGTTTTTATCCACCGTTGGTTCTTTGGGAGGTTTTCTTCTCTTTCTGCTTATTAGGGGCACTACATGGGCCTTGAAGGCTTGAATGTGCCACTTTGTTAAGCTATACATATACTTCTGCCAGTTGCTGCATGCCAAGATCGCATCGAGACCCAACTTCGACAAGACAACACCCTTTGGCCACCGACGTTTTTGTTTGCCCTTTCTGTCGACAGTAAGCAAAAGCAATACGATTCAGAGTTACGATGTTCTACTAATTATAACCTGGCTTGCATAATGCCAGGTTATTACACGTGTAATAGCAGCGTGCTGCTATTACACGTGTCAATTTGGGTTTCCATGGAAACATCAACAAACTATGAAGTCGTCAATATGTGTGATGTCATCAAATATTGCTGCTAACATCTTCACGGGCGTGCGATCAAACAAATGTATCAAACGCATTCAACGAGACAGCAGCTCTGTTCCAAACGCAGCTATGGAAAGGCTCACGGATTAACCCGCGCCCGGCTGGGGGTCCTGGATTTCCACGCCCTGCTGGGGGGGGGGTGTTTGAACACCCCCCCCCCCCTTGTAACTCGGCTCCTGGGCCACGTAGCGATACGCAGAAGGCGGCGTTCGAAAGAGCGTCAAAAATAATGACGAAATCACTTCGGTCAATTTTTTGGTCAGGTCAAAGGTCAGGTCACCAGACGTCATTGAAGGCAAAATTTCGCCGATTTCCAGGTCGAATGTCGAAAATTTCCAAGAAGCCAACGCATAACTCGAGAACCAATAGAGCTACAGCGCCGCGGAAAAGCGCATTCGATAGCCCTATTAAAGCCCTTTCTGAGTAATTCTCTCAGATTTGACCTAACGTCAACGGTTTTGCCTGCAGGGGGCAAAAACTGCAAAAATAGCCGATTTTTTCGGAAACAGTTTTTCTGCAATAACTTTTGACCCAAGCCTTGTACGAGCTTACTTTTACCGGCATTGTGTTCCTCTCGTCAAGACGCATCGAATGAACTATAACTTGACCTTGAAAGGTCAACTTGAAAATTTGACCTCAGGTCAAGGTCATGACCTGACCGGAAAGGGTCATGTTGCATATCAGTCGATCCGTATCGTCGAGCTGAAAACATCTAAGGCGTTTTCATCGCTTTAGCACGCCTCTATCAAAAGTTATTTGCGAAAAACTGTTAGATACCATTCGTGACCTAAGATGACCTCAGGGCATAAACAAGGGTCACGGACACCATTTTCATGTTCAGTGTGTCTAAACCACTTGTAATTCGGTGTTTGGGAGTGTTTATAATGTCTTTTGTCCAAAAGAGGCGCATTTCAATTTTCTCCCATTGACTTATAATGGGGAGGCCGCAAAATTGACCTGACCTTAGGTCATCGATATCAAAATTCTGAGATATACATTTTGTACATGCTATTGCTCTTAGCAATCGCTGAAAGTTTCAAAGCGATCGGTCACTCGGTGTAGCTATGACAGACATTGAAACTTTTTATGAGGTGAGGTCACTTCAAGTGACCTGGTGACCTGACCTTGAATGACCTTGGTCTGAAATTTTCACAACATGTGTAGAATTGATGTATGATAAGGTGTACCAAAAACGGCGGCGCTCCACGCCGCCGTTTTTGAGATATTCGCGAAAAACCACAAGGGGGGGGGGTGTTCAAACACCCCCCCCCCCCCCAGCAGGGCGCGGGTTAAGGCCGCCCCACACTGGACCTCGCATGCGGGTTGCGAGTTTGCGGGTTTTGAGTGTGCGGGCATAATACTAATTCATAGAGTGATTAGACCGTTCCCTTAACCCTCGCCCGCACATGCCATTTTCCCATCCTAGAACGCACATGGGGGGGGGGGTGGTTGCCACCCCCCCCCCCACGCCATTTCGTTCCTGTTGGAGATAGAGCTTAGCAGTAAAGACCAAAAAGATTCTTTGGGAAGAGACGAATCCAATGATACCCAGTTTTACCTTCTCAGGTCAGTCATTGACCTTCCAGGTCAGGTCAAACTAAAAAATGTTGCTGTTTTGGGTCACCGTTGGATATCAAGTGCGCTGCTTATCAAATACCGATGACGATGCTGTTTTCTGGTGCCAATCCAGCTAGAACCTCTTTGTCACAGTATCCGACCATAATTTTGCTGCTGAGGTCATTTCAGGTCAAGTTAGGTCAAGGTCAATTATTTGTGTTTGTATGTCTGTGTGTGTCTGTGTGTATACTGATGTGTGCACCGATTGTTTTTGGGTCCATATCACATGAAATCATGATCTGAGAAGCTTTTACCAAAAATGCAGTCAAAAAACTTCACAAAAAGTAAATTCAGCTTGCCTAAAACGCAATTATCTTAGATGACCTAGGTTGACCTTGACCCTGACCTTGACCCCTGTACATCGTCGAACAACATGTTCCATGATAGGTGGGAGGTAAGACTGGCAAAAAAGGCCGAAATCAGGGTGTCAAAAGCTCACAAGGCCCATGGCAAACGCAAGATGTTGAGAATTGGCCATTTGGGTCATGACATGACCTGAAAAACAAGGTCATATCTCCGAAACCAAAAATCACAGAAACTTGAAATTTTCAGTGGACATCAAGAAAGGATAGACGAGCAGCTATACGAAAAATCAGCCTTCTAGCTCTAAAAATGTTGAGTGCAGAGCAGAAAGACTGCCTGGGGGGGGGGTGGCAACCACCCCCCCCCCCCCATGTGCGGGCGAGGGTTAAGGTAACTTCATGAATGCAGTGAAGCCGGTACACCTTCAGAAAACTACATATAGTCGCAATACCAGCGCAACCAACCAAAATTCGACTGCAACGAAAAACCCGCAAACATCTCAGAACTTGCAGACCTCGCAGCGAGGAAAATCGAAAGTTGACACAAAATCAACTTTTGGAATGCGAGGCAAGTTGGCTCGCATGCTAAAAACATGCAGACTCGCTTGTTACATGGTATTGTGGGTCACTCAGCTTAGATTGTATTATTTGCTTTGAAAGAAACCCGAAAAACCAAAAACTCGCAACCCGCATGCGAGGTCCAGTGTGGGGCGGCCTTTACACGAAACGTCATTAGTGTGACGTTATCACGTTACATCAGCTGGCGCAATTTGATAGCAGCGTGCTACTATCACCGGTGAAACAGGGCCTTGGTATCAATTACGGTGATTCTAATTTCTAGTTACATTGTTACCAAATGCGTAACCGAGTCAATGAAACGATTTTGGGGGGCAGTCAATATAGGTACATATGATGGACTGAAATGGATAAATTCATTTAGCAATTAATAGCTGTTTTCTGCAGCTTGACTTCAGCCGGTGCTGCCAAATTCGTTCCATGGCATTTAAAGATTCGGCACATCAGGGGTAATAGAAGCGAAGTAACCTTGCTGTTCTTGACGCCATTGTTTATTGCGAAATGAGAGCGAATTCAAATTTCGTATAAAGTCAGGGTATATTGAATTAAAGTTGTCACGCTGACGGGACGCCGGCATACCGGCAGAAATTCAATAATACATATGAGCGCAACGACACATGAACATAAGGCTGATGACACACAAAAGCGCCATCACATGTCATTTAAGAAAACAAGTAGTGGCTAGCTAATCTTCATTGACAGTCGCAAGCACCGTACAAGGTTCAGAAAACGGCACCAAATCGTCATCATGCCTACAATACCAAGATACTAAAATCAAGATGAAAAAACCGGAACTGGAAAAAAGAACTTGGTCCTGACGAGTGACGAGAACAGATCTGGAACTGCTTAACACATTTCCGAGTCGCTGCTAGCTACTCAATGCTCATAGCTCATTGCGCAAAATACCGTTACGGTAGACCCGGTCGGTACGTTTCACAATAATTTCCTATGCTCTATCCCATATATCGCTGTCCTGTCCACCAAACCGACACAAAGGTCGCCGCGTCCATTTTCAGCAGTGACGGGTGTACCCCGAGCCCCCTGCTGGGGTAGGGTGGGGGGTGGGGGAGTGGGGGTGGGGGGGGACTGTGGGGTGAGATGAAGCGGGGAGACCCCTCCAGTACCCTAATCAGATAATTTCCGAGGGGATGGGAGCTGAGTGTCAATAACAGCCTCGTGATCCCGGCCGGCCCCGCATGCGATAAGGAATGGCGAAACATCTTATACGGCCTTGGGCGAAACGAAACAATCACTCGCGGTAACATTGACGGCAAGTCGAAACCAGACTTTGAAACATCGCGAGCGCTCATAACCAATGGCGGATCCAAAGGGGGGGGGGGGAGCAACCGGTCAAAGTCTGGCCTAGGGGCGGCGAAAGTGTTATTTGGCACCTCCTTTCCGAAAGAACTTGGTGCTTAAAAATCTCCTAAGGACCGCCATTCACAACAGATGACAGACATATCTGTAAGATAAATTAGTAAACGTAATTCCAAAACCGATAAATCCGAGCATGTCAAAACCGGAAAATTCTATCCTCATGACTTTCGGAGACCTAACATTTGCCCTGGCCGAAGTATATTTCCATGATTTTTTAAAACTTTTTTTACAAAAGCCTCTTACCGTGTGTCGCTACGTCGCTCACGATGCAGAGTAAGAGGGAGGGCGCGTAAAAACGTCTGACGCGTCTCGATACGTTACGGACAACCGCAGCCCTGACGTGGAATAAACTTATCCCGGGAAGATTTCTTTTTAGTGGAAGGGGCGGGATACTCGGTGCACCTCGGAAACCATCACGGAGACCTGAAAGAGTGACCGGTTTTGGCCCCTCCATTTGGAAATGGCTGGATCCACCGGTGCTTATGACGAGGGCTCATCAGTTGCCGCAGTAAAACCAGCCCCTTTTTTGATGTTTCACCGGTGAAACAGGGCCCAGATGCCGTGAAAAGAATAGCGCTCCCATTATAAGATTGGGCCCTGGCCTGCGCTTGACCGCGTTACGTAAGATGCATTATGTTTCACTGCCTCTGGTAGTGGCTCTGTACTTTGGTGTCGTGACGTCCTGGCGTCTGTGACATTCACTGACCTCTGTCACTGACACTGACCTCTGCCACTGACAATGTCACTGACCACTGTCGCTACCTCTGTCAATGACCTCTGTCGCTGTCGCTACCTCTGTCAATTAACTATGCCACTGACACTGACACTGTCCTCTGTCACTGTCACTGACACTAACCTATGTCGCAGAACTATGTCACTGACACTGACCTCTCACCGACACTGATCTCTCACTGACGTTGACAAATGTCACTGAACTTTCACTGACCTCTGATACTGCCACTGACCTCCGTGCCTGACCTATGTCACTGACACTGACCGCTGTCACTATCCCTCAGTTGCGTACCTCTGTCCTCGGTCACTGACAAGTGACAAGTGACACTGACCTGTGTCACTGAACTCTGTTATGTCGCTGGCCTGTCACTGACCTCTGTCACTGTCACTGACCTAATGTTCTCTGCCGCCAGGTGCGCATGAACCGCGTGGTGCGGAACAACCTACGCGTACGTCTGGGTGACGTGGTGTCCATCCAGCCGTGCCCGGACGTCAAGTACGGAAAGCGTGTCCACATTCTGCCCATCGACGACACGGTCGAGGGACTGACCGGGTGAGTGCCCGGGGAGGGTGAGTGTCCTGACTGGGTGAGTGCCCGGGGAGGATGAGTGTCCTGGACGGGTGAGTGCCCGGGGAGGATGAGTGTCCTGGACGGGTGAGTGCCCGGGGAGGATGAGTGTCCTGGACGGGCGAGTGTCTTGGCTGTTGAGTGTTGAGTGTCCGGAGAGAACTGAATGATGGATACGAGCTCGAGGAATTTAGTGGATGACTTGTGAGGCGGTGGCTTATGTGGTTGGTTATCTTATATGTTGTCTTGGGTGGTACTCGTGTTCTTTGATTTGACTAGTCCAGCCACAGCCGTTTTGTTTCTCGTGAATTGTTTTTTGGATGAGGTTTTATGTGCTTACGAGTGAACACATGCTGTGTTGTGGGATAACGGTGCTGTCGCCGGCCGCACCTTTGGATTATAACGTCTGACCTACGCTGTCCAGAGTTAGGAGAACGGTTACGTTTCGATGCATGATAACTCCATGGCTTTGTCCAGTCTGTTGTTCTGTGACCTGCCGATCTCGGCATAAGCTAAACACTCGGGGCCTAATACAGCACTGGATCACCAGTCACAACAGCCCGTGGCGTGTCCCGGTGACACCCGACGCTCCGTGTCTGTTTCATGTTCACCACCTGTCACCGTATCGTATCATCACCCCCTCCCCTCCCCCACATCTCCCCCTCCGGCAGAAACCTGTTCGACGTCTACCTGAAGCAGTACTTCCTGGAGGCGTACCGGCCGATCCACAAGGGCGACCTGTTCCTGGTGCGCGGCGGCCTGCGCGCCGTCGAGTTCAAGGTGGTCGACACGGATCCGCAGCCGTACTGCATCGTCGCGCCCGACACGGTCATCCACTGCGAGGGAGAGCCAATCCGACGCGAGGTGAGAGCGGGCGACACCTATCGGCGGACGGGAGAAGCTGAGGTTGTGGTGCGGGGCGCCAGAAGGCACTGGTGTGTGCAGGCCTGTCAGGAATACGGGCTCCGCAATCGCGTTCAAATGCCGGGTTTGGTAGGAGTGTAACTCACAATATAGGCGGCAGGCGCGCAGTCTGAGGTGATTGGGATCCCTCTTCCTCGCGATAAGAAGGATTGCACCTGTCTATCGCCATTCAGTGAAGGAAGCTATCCTTCATCTCGAACGATCACATCAGTAAGCTTTGCGTGCTGTGATGCCACGACTGCGGATACACAATGGCGAGAAAATATTGACTCACAGCTCCACACTTCATGCCTAATGCTTATGTTTTGTTGCACTTACCGTTGCGAGAGCTCTTGATCGGCGTAAGTGGATGTTGTGCGGCTTTCGATCCCCAGTAATTCCTAGGTATGAAGGTAAGTAGCAGTCGGACATGAGTACTGTTTCATTTAATAATCAAATAGCAACAATACTCAATGTGCTGTTGAACAACTTGAGTGCGCTTGACGCCATAAGTCACTTCATGGGCTCGCTGATGAGCCGGACTTCACTACCGGATGGTAACACCGTCCGACTGCCGACCCGTGATCGCTGGCTGATCGCCGGGTGCGGGCTCCGCCTCTGGTGACCTCTGGTGACCTCTGGTAACCTCTGGTGACTGCTGACTGGAGCACTGGTCGCTAGCCGGTCGCCGGTCCCTGGTTCGGCCTTTGGCGACCTCCGTTGACCGGTGACCTGAGCAGTGAGCACTGACCCCCGTCGCCCGCTGACCCAAGGACATCACTGACCCCTGACCCCTGCCCCCGCCGACCGCTGACCCGAGGTCATCACTGACCCCTGACCCCGCCGACCGCTGAGCCGAGGTCATCACTGACCCCTGACCCCAGCCACCCGCTGACCCGAGGTCATCATTGACCCCTGACCCCCGCTGACCGCTGACCCGAGGCCATCACTGACCCCTGACCCCGCCGACCGCTGACCCAAGGTCATCGCCGACCCCCGCCGCTCGCTGACCCCGAGGTCATCACTGACCCCTGACCCCTGCAGAGTGCCAACCGTTGACCCGAGGTCATCACTGACCCCCGCCGCCCGTTCTCCCCAGGAGGAGGAGGAGGCGCTGAACGAGGTCGGCTATGACGACATCGGCGGCTGCCGGAAGCAGCTGGCGCAGATCAAAGAGATGGTGGAGCTGCCTCTGCGACACCCCAGCCTCTTCAAGGTAAGGGCCCTGGCGACAACACGTCCAGCCAGCCTAGCCGTGATTGTGACAAAGCCTTTTTTGCGATACATTTCCACTTTTTGTATACTGTGCTCCTAGGGCTTTATTACAGGATATAATGCCGGAAATGTTGATAAAAATAAGAAAACAAAACGGGTTTCAGAAGATCGACATGTGCACTGACGTCAAGGAATTCTGCGTAGGAGGCAGTGACGGGCGTCTGGCGTTGGGTACAGGTTATTTGATTCCCAGACCAAACAGCTTTCATTACCAGAAGTGGAAAAGTCGTGCGTGGTTAGTGAACGCATCACGGCGCTCGCGTATGCAGCAGCCTAACCCTGGTCGATGAAGGTCCTGGAAGAAGAAGAAAAATATCGAGTCCTTTCGATTTTTTTTTTTGATTTTTTGTTTTATTTTGTTGGGTTAGGCCCTTTCGGTCTGACAAGACCATTTCAGAGCCGGAAGGATGATAGGAATTAGGGGAGACATTGGTCTGGGCAGACACCCTAGAGAGTTGCCGGGGCTGAGCCCGTCCGAATGGACAGGCCGACCAGCACCCCAAGCACTCTTTGTACCCGGCTACGAGGTGCGCTTCCTCGGGAGCAGCGGTGCCGCTCCAAGGGAGCAGCCCGCATGAGACAAAGGTGCCTGTCCAGCCCGGAGTGGGGGTTTCGGCGTGGAGGAGAAGGATTTCAGTATCCTGAGGATGGAAACGACGGAACGGAGAGGCCCTTCGAAATGTCTGCTGCAGCACATGGTGTTCAATTGTGTTGAAAGTGTCGTCCGTGGGATCGTTCTCATTTTACCGTTCCTTCTTTGGGAATGCCTTTAGTAGATGTCCGGTATCTATTGTTTTGGAATGCCTCACCAATTTTGACTTAGCACTGGAGGACTTCTTTTCCTCCTTCACTAGGCTACGAAATAGGGAAAGGCACGAAAGACGGGGAGGGCCTACCTCGCTGCGGGTGGTGTAGCTGGGTACGACAGTCCGGCGAACAGGCAGCATCGGGAATCGAACCTGGGTCCTCCCGAACCCCGAACCATCGCGTTTGCAACTGCGCCGTCAAGGCCTAAAATCTAAAAACAATGGGGCGTTAAGCATCAATGTTTTTTTTTTTAATAGCAGACCCAATTTCGCTACGAGCTGCCGAGTTGGTGACTACGTCAGCGCTCGCCGGCAATATCCAATGTGAATGCTGGCAAAAGTTTTAATGCATGGAATGCTCCAGTCGTAAGAATTGCAACTACCTGTAGCCTTCTGTATATCTGCGCGTATGCATGTTACATAATCTTAGTAGGCATCACAGCTGCACTACTAGATGACGGCAGTGGAACGATAATAATACTGGGTCCTTGTACTGCCGAGCTGCCTCGCTGATCTCTAATAACCTTGGTGCTACTTGATACCATCGTCATCATTATTGTACTAGTCATTTCAGCCTCAGATATTAGGGCAATAATTGGCAGTAATGCCTGATCGCTCCCCGGGCTAGCTTGAACACCAGCTATTCCCGTGGTGTATTGGCGTTATGACCCGGCCGGGCGCTCCATCCAAGCCCGTGTGCAGTAGCTGAGACATATGCTGTGCTGAGTACCAGCGATTACTGTGATAATAGGGCGTTTCATACCAGCACTGCATGCAATACCATACAATTATTCGCTCGGGAAATGATCCCCAAAGCGCTGTTTGCAGACGTTTTGTCTTTTCCACGAAACAGTGCGCGTGAATGTCTCAATAAGTCACATTATTTCTATTGCGAATCTTCAGGAGAAGCGTTAGCTTCATTTCACCGTTTGCTAGTCGCTCAGCGGACGGCCCGGTGTTCCGACTCCACCCACGACAGTTGAAGGGGTATGACCGCCGGCACGGCCACAACTTGTCCGCCCCAACTGACACCATCCGTAGCTCACAATATCGCCTCTGAATGTGTGTGAACACTGAGCGTATCTGAACAATGTGTAGGGCGTCTCCATCCCTAGTTCGGGGTGAATATGCACAATCACATGAACAAATATTGTCCGCTGATGCTGCGGAGGTGCTTTCAAAATCAATTTAGCTCAGTCAAAAGAAGAGCTTTGTCTTCTGACGAACTAATGTAGCCAATAGATTCCACCGGACAGTTTTCAATCACATCGAACTAGACACATGCGTGCTCTTTGCCAGTATTTCTCAATCTGGGATCATTCCATTGGACGGCTGCGTTACACAAGCGGCGCACGCGTGGAATCCAGAGTAGGTATATTCGGAAACTTCCACCGACGCATCCCGCCGAGATGCCCACCCACACCCGATCTCACTTCAAACACTCTCTACGATCACAGATACCGTACTCTATGAATGATAAGTATTGGTTGCGCTCATGCTCAGTTATACGTGGATGCTATTTTGCAGCAATTTATTCATTAAGTCGCTGGCCTCTTGCTGATCGAGATTTTCGGTTGAAATCCGACCGGTTCATTTAGGTCCATTGGGCGGTTCTTCTGCTTCTGGCTGCGGTTCCTGGAAGTGGGGGAGGGGGGGGGGGCGGTGATCATGACAGAAATAGGGGCCCAGTGCGTCAGCCGTCACCTGGCCTGGCCGGCCGGCTGCAGGGCACTGACCTCTCCCCATCCCGCCCTGCGTCTCTGCCCACTCCCGTAATGGCCGCTGATGAGCCCACAATTTACTGATACTACGATTCAACTAACTGACGGCACACATGATCTGAGCCACTTGCCTGAGATATTGATATACATATGTCTGCTTGTAAAAAGTGGTGTAAACTGCAATGCCCTCTTGCCCTCAAAACTGCAATGTCTTCTTGGCTCGGGCCACTTCCTGATTAAAAATTGTGATCTGGAGGATTTGGCTGATCCTGACCTTGGACCGATGACCCTGACCTCTAACCTTGACCCAGAAGTGCAAGGCCCGACCCATGACACTGACCGGGCGTGACGTCTGTCCGTTACAGGCGATCGGCGTGAAGCCGCCGCGTGGCATCCTGCTGTACGGACCTCCGGGCACCGGTAAAACGCTGATCGCCCGGGCGGTGGCCAACGAGACGGGCGCCTTCTTCTTCCTCATCAACGGTGAGCGGCGGAGCGCCGGGACGGGCTGGGTGGGGGGCAGTGGGTGAGGGGAGGCGGGGGCTCAATAAGACTGTGGGGGTGAATTAAGCTGTGGAGAGGGGAGAGGGGCAGACTGCGGGCCTACTAGTGTTCAGTCGGTCATTTTTATTCCGAGCAGTGTAGTTGACCGATTGTCACCACTCCAAGTAGGTGACAGTGTCTGATTCGGCGAGATTGGTTAATTGATCGGCTGGGTAGTAGGTGGCTGCAAGAGTTCTTTCCCAATGTGCAATTAATGTGAATGCCAAAAACGTCCGATGTAAGATATTGTCGGTGAATTTCCTGGTGAACGCATGGTGAGATGAGGTATACGCTTATTTGCATTTACAGTGGCATATTACCCGGAGTGCATTCGTCGGGCAGACAGGTTATGTGCTGTAATGTATACCCGTCTGAATGTTTTTCGAGCCCATTATCTGTACGTGCTTGTGATTGCTAAATATTTCCATATCTGTGGTCAGAAAGCTACGTAAAATTTCTGAGGTGATGCCACCACCAAAGTGGCGGCATAGATTCCTATAAAAAGATATATAACAACCACTTTGGGGCGATTGAGTCTGATCCGAGTTGCTTACGATCACGAGAAGAGCGTGTTGTTAAGGCCCATCACGCAATTACGTTGTGGAGTGCTTATGTTGTTCCAAGCTTATCAGAGGCCAGTTGCCCCATTCCTGCTTAGTCAGATAGCACAAATAATCATCGGTTGCCAAATCGTTTGACGACCTCTGCTAACCAAGAGCGTTTTGTCGCGGTTTTTACATTAGGCTGACAGGAACTGATGACAGGTGAATTGTTCGCTTATCATGCAAAAATATGGCACATTGGCTATATGCTATTCCCTTCAGATTCCGTCTCCCTGCGCAGTGCAGCACCAATGGTATGAGGAAACCTGGTCTCCCGTGTTGTATTCGCTGGGACTGTGTTTACCAAACTACCTCCCTTCTGATCGTATCATCGAGCCCTGCGGCGACTTTGTACAGTTTGCACCTTTCTATTATGACGTGAAGTGTTACTGATGCATTTCAAGAATTTAACCTGACAGACAAATTAAAAGCAACCTACCAGTTGCTCAGCGCTTGGTGTGCCATTATGGCGTAAAAACTTATTCACAAAGTTTTTGGCCGGTTAAATAGGTCTTCGTGTTGCTGAACGCTACACCCTCACTTAGCGTCTAGTGACGCTTTTTTCATGCCACCAACTACCAAATAGAGTAATGAGTATGTTACCCGGGCAACGGACAGACCTTTTAACGTAGATTATACGATAATTGGATACGCTGACGTATTCGTTCGTGTGTTTTTGTTTTGTTTGTAAATTATGGCGGAGAAACAGGAGAGCCGAATTATTCAGCGCATTTTCTGTGGCATTTCTTATGGCATATCGGACCTGAGCTAAATACACTTGTGCGTGGGCAGTTAATTATCCCATGGTAGCATAAGAATAATAGAAAGAATATAAGAAACCAGACTTTGTCGCGCGCCTTTGCTCATATTTTCAGTTTTGATGCGTGGGTCGTAGAGAAACCCTTTCGCTGTATCCTGTTCTCAAAACGATTCCAAAAGTATCATGGTACCATAAACTTTCTTCGATACGGATTCTTTTGGTCTCGCAACGTTTTTTTCTTTCTTTTATTGCTCGTGTTAACTAACAGGAACATATTTTGAATTTCTATATAGGCCACCTACCTCCTACAACTCCAGCTACTGCACAGAGATATTAGATGATAGTTATATGTTTTACAATGCAGTTCATCCCATTCATCTATCCTTGACTAAATTTCTTTTAAAGGCGTCAGAGTGTCTTAGCCCGCGCGGGGCTGGGGTCTCCAGCCGAACGCGCGGGGCTTGGGGGGGGGGGTAAATTTTACCCCCCCCCCCCCTGTTATCTCCCGAACAAAGGGTCCGATTTGGAAAATTCAAACGCCAATCGAAAGATTGGCGTTCGTGTTCACGAACAACTAAAAACATGTACTTAATTTAAAGTTTGAGGTCAAGGTCAGGTCAAGGGTACAAATTGAAAGTTTCTACAGTATCGGCCTTGCACCGTAGTTGCCGAAGAATGGAGTCATGGACTGAGACTGATTGCCCAAAACGTGTTCTTAGGCTACCAAGACAATATTCCTTGCATACAATATCATTCAGAGGTCAAGGTCAGGTCAGGTCAGGTCACCAAAAACAAAATATAGAAAAGAGCATGTGCGACACATGTTTTATGGGTCATTTTATTCCTAGAATTCAATAGGCACACTCAATAGGTGATATGGACCACATCTGGATGAATTTCAGGTCGAGGTCAGGTCAAGATCGGGTCAAGTGAGGCCAAATTTTGAAGTTGGTTGTTAAGGCCTATAAAGGTGACTATATGATGCAGTTTTTCACGGCAAATCGAATGGTGCTATTTTTGTTTCCGTACGAGGTCTAGAACTTCCAAAAATTCATTTTTCAAAAAATGGTTTGTCGTGACGTCATAAAATTTTGAATAACTTCCACATTTCTGAACCGATTCTTCTAAAAATTGGTATGTAGGTGCACATATGCCACTTCTCTGACATTTAATCCGTTTTTTTTTCGATACACGCAAAATTTTGGATTTTATAATTATTTTCCCAAAAAAGTCAGTTTTTTTTTAGAAAAAAGGGCCAAAATCAAAAATTTTCAAAAACCGAGATAGCCATTTGATAGACAAAGTAGAATCACGTATAACCTTTTTTTGTTACGTCTTGATTCCCTTAAAAATGAAGATGTTAGCGGCGTTTGAAATTTTGCCGTTTTTGAGGCGAAAATGGCGAACATGACTTCATTAAAACGTCATTTTCTCAAAAAATCTCCGAGGGATTTCGCTCAAATTTTCAGGGAACGTGTCAAATTGATGCAAGAAAAGGTGCGCCGCCGTTTTCGAGATATTGCAAAAATTCGCGAGGGGGGGGGGTAAAATTTACCCCCCCCCCAGCCCCGCGCGGGTTAAGAAAGTCAGAACGGAGCGGGCGAAACGAGCGTAGTCTTTCGTAGATTAACGGAAATTTCTGAGTATGAGCGGCCGGCCGGCCGTGGTCACGCTTTTGCGAGGCTTATATCTCAGTTACCACTTGATCGATTTACATGCGGTAATTTGTTTACGGTAGCTTCATTCCTTCTGCCAAGTATTGGACTATTCTCGATGCATGTGGGTGACCTCTTATGCACATGCTGCGTGCACAACGAAGAGGTGTCAGTTTTGTAAGAATTGCAATATCTCCGGTAACTACTGGGCCGATTGCGCTGGAAGTTGTCATGTATGTAGGTAGGCGCCCACTTGGCATTGCATATCCATATGCCACAGTTGGGGTGCTACTGCACGTGCGCACGTGCAGGGGTCGATTTCAGATCTCGAGAACGGCTGAACCGATTGCGCTGAAATTTAGTATACGGGTAGGGACTGGTTAGTAGGGTGCTTTGCAAAAGTCAGTTGGGTTGGGACCCAGTTCGCACGTGCTTCCAGATCTCGAGAACGGCTGTACCGATTTCGCTCAAATTCGGCACATCGCTGGAGGCCAGTTAGTAGAGTACCGTGCACGAGTCAGTTGGAGGTACCCCCTCGAAATTTCGTACGTGCAAGGCTCACCCTCTCGCTCGCTCCGATTTTCGCTAAAAAGGCGTTTTACTGGTATAAATAATTAATGATTATGCTTCAGGGAAAAGCAATCTTCACCATGGTGTGTGTCACGGGGGGACGTTTTAAGCCGCATTTTATTATGTATAAGGGTGTGTAAAAACTGCAAAGACGTCAAAGACGCATCCCGAGCCCCGACTGACCTCTCTTTAACCTCCGCCCAGGACCGGAGATCATGAGCAAGCTGGCCGGAGAGTCCGAGTCCAACCTGCGCAAGGCGTTCGAGGAGGCCGAGAAAAACTCGCCGGCCATCATCTTCATCGACGAGCTGGACGCCATTGCGCCCAAGCGCGAGAAGACGCACGGCGAGGTGGAGCGCCGCATCGTCTCCCAGCTGCTCACCCTGATGGACGGGCTCAAACAGCGCGCGCACGTGATCGTCATGGCGGCCACCAACCGGCCCAACTCGATCGACCCGGCGCTGCGCCGCTTCGGCCGCTTCGACCGCGAGGTGGACATCGGCATCCCGGACGCCACCGGCCGGCTGGAGGTGCTGCGCATCCACACCAAGAACATGAAGCTGGGCGAGGACGTGGATCTGGAGCAGGTGGCCGCCGAGAGCCACGGCCACGTGGGCGCCGACCTGGCCGCCCTCTGCTCCGAGGCGGCGCTCCAGCAGATCCGCGAGAAGATGGACCTGATTGACCTGGAGGATGATCAGATCGACGCCGAGGTGCTCGGCTCGCTGGCCGTCACCATGGAAAACTTCCGGGTGAGTGACGGGGCAGGCGGCGGGGGATAGCGGAGGGATAAGTGAGTTACGGGGGGGGGGGAGGATATGAATTCATGTGTGATCGTGAACTGTCCTGTAGCCGCTATGATTAACTGACGTCATTTTGCGTTTTCGATGGCTAGTAATCTATGTAGGATGTTAATCGTTACTCTCATAGTGGCTCATTGTCTCTACTTTCCAGTAAAGCCACAAGTGCTGTCACGTATCTGACTCCCCTGATCGCCCGTCTTTGGTGGTTTTCAGTTCGCCATGGGCAAGAGCACGCCTAGCGCGCTGCGCGAGACGGTGGTCGAGGTGCCGAACGTCTCCTGGGACGATATCGGCGGCCTGCAGAACGTGAAGAAGGAGCTGCAGGAGCTGGTTCAGTACCCTGTGGAGCACCCGGAGAAGTTCCTCAAGTTCGGCATGACGCCGTCGCGCGGCGTGCTCTTCTACGGGCCGCCCGGCTGCGGCAAGACACTGCTGGCCAAGGCCATCGCCAACGAGTGCCAGGCCAACTTCATCTCCATCAAGGGCCCCGAGCTGCTCACTATGTGGTTCGGAGAGTCCGAGGCCAACGTGCGTGACGTATTCGACAAGGCCCGCGCCGCCGCGCCCTGCGTGCTCTTCTTCGACGAGCTGGACTCGATCGCCAAGGCGCGCGGCGGCAACCTGGGCGACGCCGGCGGCGCGGCCGACCGCGTCATCAACCAGGTGCTCACAGAGATGGACGGCATGGGCTCCAAGAAGAACGTGTTCATCATCGGCGCCACTAACCGGCCAGGTGGGTGGACGCGGGACGGGACGGAAAGGCGGAGTGCTGATCCTCAGGAGAATCGCCCACGGTGCTGTATTTGCATCCGTTCTAGAGACGTCACACTTGACACTTCATCCAGGCCCATACACGACACTCTTCTACTTTACCTGAGGGAAATTACATCATTATTGTTCCCCATTACCTTGTGTAGTGTGTACAATTATAATAACCAAGTGTCTCTTACCTGGCGTCCCGCCGTTGACTCTTAATCTGCCGCACGTGCTGAGTTGACCCTTTGTGACCGGCGTGACCCCGTCCGCAGACATCATCGACCCCGCCATCCTGCGACCGGGCCGTCTGGACCAGCTCATCTACATTCCGCTGCCCGACGACGCCTCGCGTATCTCCATTCTCAAGGCCAACCTGCGCAAGTCGCCGATCGCAAAGGTATGTTACGCGTCGGCTAACCCTGGGTCTCTGAGGGAGAGAGAGAGAGAGAGAGAGAGAGAGAGAGAGAGAGAGAGAGAGAGAGAGAGAGAGAGAGAGAGAGAGAGAGAGAGAGAGAGAGAGAGAGAGAGAGAGAGAGAGAGAGAGAGAGGGGGGGAGGTGAGAGCTCGTCTCAATGGCCGTGGGTGGTGATCGATACTCGGCGCTCACGAGACTCCATCAAAGGCGATGGTTAATTGGCGGGCGATGTTTTCGCCTACTGGGCGGGCTATACATAACATTTGTCGTAGCTCGGTACGTGTGAGGCGGAGATTAGGTTCAATAGAACGCATCCGGAGTTCGGGTGATTTCGGACAGACGTTTTAGATTAGCGTGGTGAAATAGGGTAGCGTAAATAGCTAGTGTTTTCTGCTTACCCACCTGGTGTAAAGTAGTCGGGAAAATGTCTAGCTCCGAGCGGTTTGTCGTGTAGTGGTGGTACTGTGTCACACCAACTCAGAAATAATTATCGTCGAGCTCCCGGAGACTGTTTTCCATTTTGGCAACAAATCTTGCGTCAGCCTGCTGTTTTAGGGCTGCCCTAAGGTGTCCTGTGAAGTATCTATTATAGGAATGCCGATTCCTCAGCTCCGTTATACCACTCGCACTTCATCTTTAATCCAGCCAGGAACCATCACCTACGATCATCGTCATCAAATCTCACCGTGCCTTACCTTCACTGATGTCCTCACCTCTCGCCACTGGATCTGACCTTTGCGCTCCTTTTCTTCCTGGGTGTGACCTCTGTCCCCCGGTCTGACCTCTGTCCCCCCCGGTCTGACCTCTGTCCCCCGGTCTGACCTCTGCCCCCCCCCCTCATCGCCCTCAGGACGTGGACCTGGACTACATGGCCAAGATGACGCACGGTTTCTCTGGCGCCGATCTGACGGAGATCTGTCAGCGCGCCTGCAAGCTGGCCATTCGGCAGGCGATCGAAGCGGACATTGCGCGCGAACGGCAGCGGCTGCAGAACCCCGACATGGATATGGAGGTGGGTGGCGCGCCGCCACTGTCGGGCCCGCACGCGGCACGCGGGGTAGTATGGGGTGGGATGAGTCCCGTCCTTCACCCCGACACGGGGCAGTTGTTTTTGTTTGAAATTTGATTTGAGAAAGGTTTCTCACTGACAACAGCACACGAGAAAATATTTGAGAAAGGCGTGACCATGTCCATTCCCCATGCTCTGTTTGACAGTTAGATCTGATTCGGTTCCTTTTTGATGTCACTTTGATATTTACAATCATTATTATTTTATCATAACAGTAATCAATTATTATTTGTTATGTTTGAATAGTGTTTAGATTGACGTCATTTGCTTTTATGGCATGCATTTTTGGTTGTTGACGTCTGTAGGAAGATGCCATAGTAATGCCTTTTCCCGGCCTATTTACTATTACGTTAATTAATTGGCGATCGCCCCCAATAACAGTACCTACTGGCTATTGATCTGACCTTTTCGTTAGTGGGAGAAGAGCGGCGGCCCGTGCCGAGCCCATATTATTAGCAGCCGTCACTGTTCGCTTTGGCACCGGCGTCATAACCTGGACGGGTAAAGGTCTGTTGCACCCGCAGTGCCCCCCCCCCCCCCCGGGCAGTGATGGAGTCGGGGTCCTGACTCTTCTTCCCCGGCCGGAGTCGGGGTCCTGACTCTTCTTCCCCGAATCGGAATAATCATTTTTGGTATAGCTTCCATGGAACAACAAGTGCAGCGGTTGGTTACATATTCGGAGTTCCCAACAAACGTTCAAACAGACTTTTGGAGCACCGGCCCCAGTTTTAAAGGTGTCTAGTTCTACTAATCATAACGGGTCGTTTGGTCGTGATGCTGTTATCGATGCGGTTATCGACTCGTTCCGCACCTCGGCTAAAATGGACTGTTGCTCGTACGATCCACATGCCTGCCTCCAAAGGGCTCCCGTTTGACACTGCGACCAGCTTCAGTCCTCGCTGCTCGGCAGTCGGCCAGCCGCATCCCTCGTCGGTCCGCAGCAGTAGGCCGTTCGACCCACTGCGTCACACGACGCAATATGCTGCCTCGTTTGTCGTATATTTTCTGTGTTTGCTTTCTCTGGGTTGTGTTTTGCCTTGTGTACTTCATCGGGCTTCATCAGCGTCAGACGCTTGGACACTGGGCTTACCTTAATAAGCTTACCCAGAAAAGCTCTGCAGCAAGTTATAGTACGAAAGGTATAGAGAGGTCGCCATTAACCCGCGCCCTGCTGGGGGTCCTGGATTTCCACGCCCTGCTGGGGGGGGGGTGTTTGAACACCCCCCCCCTTGTAACTCGGCTCCTGGGCCACGTAGCGATACGCGGAAGGCGGCGTTCGAAAGAGCGTAAAAAATAATGACGAAATCACTTCGGTCAATTTTTTGGTCAGGTCAAAGGCCAGGTCACCAGAGGTCATTGAAGGCAAAATTTCGCCGATTTCCAGGTCGAATGTCGAAAATTTCCAAGAAGCCAACGCATAACTCGGGAACCAATAGAGCTACAGCGCCGCGGAAAAGCGCATTACATAGCCCTATTAACGCCCTTTCTGAGTAATTCTCTCAGATTTGACCTAACGTCAACGGTTTTGCCTGCAGGGGGCAAAAACTGCAAAAATAGCCGATTTTTTCGAAAACAGTTTTTCTGCAATAACTTTTGACCCAAGCCTTGTACGAGCTTACTTTTACCGGCATCGTGTTCCTCTCGTCAAGACGCATCGAATGAACTATAACTTGACCTTGAAAGGTCAACTTGAAAATTTGACCTCAGGTCAAGGTCATGACCTGACCGGGAAGGGTCATGTTGCATGTCAGTCGATCCGTATCGTCGAGCTGAACACATCTAAGGCGTTTTCATCGCTCTAGCATGCCTCTATCAAAAGTTATTTGCGAAAAACTGTTAGATACCATTCGTGACCTAAGATGACCTCAGGGCATAAACAAGGGTCACGGACACCATTTTCAAGTTCAGTGTGTCTAAACCACTTGTAATTCGGTGTTTGGGAGTGTTTATAATGTCTTTCATCCAAAAGAGGCGCATTTCAATTTTCTCCCATTGACTTATAATGGGGAGGTCGCAAAATTGACCTGACCTTAGGTCATCGATATCAAAATTCTGAGATATACATTTTGTACATGCTATTGCTCTTAGCAATCGCTGAAAGTTTCAAAGGGATCGGTCACTCGGTGTAGCTATGACAGACATTGAAAGTTTTTATGAGGTGAGGTCACTTCAAGTGACCTGGTGACCTGACCTTGAATGATCTTGGTCTGAAATTTTCACAACATGTGTAGAATTGATGTATGATAAGGTGTACCAAAAACGGCGGCGCTCCGCGCCGCCATTTTTGAGATATTCGCGAAAAACCACAAGGGGGGTGTTCAAACACCCCCCCCCCCCCAGCAGGGCGCGGGTTAAGACGATTAGCACTTGCATATCTGTAGTAGGCATTTCTCAGCAAAATTTTGTAATCGGTTCCAATCGTAAGCGGGTTATGCCTGAAACAGACTCTTTCCGCGGTCAGGGAATCGCATGCGAGAGCCTATTCAAATAGATGGAAGCACGCTCGCATCAATCGCACGCACCTCCCGGATGCGATTAATGCGGGAAGAATTAGTACGGAGCGAGCGAAGCGAGCGGAGTCTTTCCTTAGATTAACGGAAATTTCTGAGTATGAGCGGCCGGCCGGCCGGCCGGCCGGCCGTGGTCACGGTTTTGCGACGCTTATATCTCAGCAACCACTTGACCGATTTACACGCGGTAATTTTTGTAGGGTAGCTTCATTCCTTCTACCAAGTATTGGACTATTCCCGATGCATGTAGGTGAGCCCTTATGCACGTGCCACGTGCAAAACGAAGAGGTGTCACTTTTGTAATTGTTGCAATATCTCGGTAACTACTTGGCCGATTGCGCTGAAAGTTGGCATGTAGGTAGGCACCCACTAGGCAATGCATATCCATGTGCCAGAGTTGGGGTGCTGCTGCACGTGCGCACGTGCAGGGGTCGATTCCAGATCTCGAGAACGGCTGGACCGATTGCGCTCAAATTTGGTAGGTACACGGTTACGGAGCAGTTAGTAGGGTGCCGTGCACAAGTCAGTTGGGACCCATTTTGCACGTGCGCACGTGCAGGGTGCCGCTTCCAGATCTCGAGAACGGCTGGGCCGATTGTGCTCAAATTCGGCACATCGCTAAAGACCGGTTAGTAGGGTGCCGTGCACAAGTCAGTTGGAGGTACCCCCTCGCAATTTCGCACGTGCAAGGCCCACCCTCTCGCTCGCTCCGTTAGTCGCCCCATAAGGCGCTATACTAGTAACGTATTTGAATAGGCTCTCGCATGCGATTTCCTGAACGCGGAAAGAGTCTGTTTCAGCCTTTAGACGATCCCTCAAGTGGGATAGAGTCTGGCTAACATCAATTACCACAAGAAGTGCTAGGTCTTTTTCCGGTTACTGTTTTCTGTGCCACTTGGCAGCTAGATTCGAAAATCACCGGCTGCTCCCGCATCTTATCTTTGTACTGAGAACGCAGTCGAAACCTGCCAAATTGGCTAAGTGCGTTTGAACTAATGACAATTTTCGGCCCAATTGCGCCGACGCTGGTAGGCTCCAGCAAACACCGTCTCGCCAAGAAGGCTGTAAAACTCAGTTGCAAAAAACAGTAGCGTCTCGACGTTCACGAGAACGTTTGATGGCTCTTACCTGATGATCGGTTCTCATACGCTCTAAGAGGTGTTAGCGTTGAGTAGCTTCGGAACTGAGCCAGTCGGCCTAAGAAGCCCTGAAGACATGTCGATAATTCATGCGAACTGTTATCCATGACGTTGACTGCAGCTTTCAGCTCATTCTCAGAGATCATCATGTAGCTTACCGGGATAGCCCACAGCTCATCGGCTCCGAGTACTGTGAAGTGTGTGCTTTTTGTTTTGTTTTTTAGTATTTGTGTGCCAAGTGGCTAAAGCTTCCTCATAATCGGATTTCGCTGGGATGCTTCAGACCGAGCACGGGTGAAGTGGATAACTGAATTGTGTCCAATAGCTCTCCTTACTGAGTCCTTCCTGGTTATGCTGGTTCAACCCTCCTCGCGTAATGGTCCCCGTAGGCCATTTGGTTCGCTCTGCGGCTCAAACTAAGACTCTATATCGTGGACCAATAAAGATGCTCATTTGTTCGAATTTCTGCTACTTTGAGAAATTGGATGCGTATGTGAAACGGGCCCACCGCGCGATTGCTTAACTACAACGCAGTCGGACGCGTTAATGTCGTGTAAAAACGCGAAACGCAGTCGGACGCAGAACGCGCCGCTCGTATCGGACGTGTTCGCTCCGTGACGCGGTTGCAGCCACCGGTTGCACACCATTGCTGCCAGGAGTATCACATGTCGAGCGCCGGAACGGCTCGAATTCTCGCCTCCGCTCCGGGAATCCGGCGCTTTACCAACCGGGACGCGGACAGAGACATTTATAGTATTTGAGTGGCACTTTTGTCTTTTTCGGATCGAGCTCATGCTGAGTTCACTCAGCAGTTGCTTGGACTAACCGCCGGGCCTGGACGAAAGTTACATATTCAATTGCTTGTCATTGTGTAATGGGCAACTAACGGTTTGGTGATGGCACTTGATATTCGATCTCGGTCGTACATGTTTTTAATCAACATGTTTTCTGGTTTTTGGGTGTCTAAGATTCCAGTCATTTTAGTTTTTTCTGGGATATTACCTTGGGCATTTTTACTACATACATGCAAGTTGCTACATTACCTGCTGGGCAGTGGCATTCACAGTGGGCAGCAGTGGCAGTCATCTCTACGGTACCATATACTGAATAGAAGTCGGCTTATGTAACTCATGTGCTCAATGATGATAAATTATTTGAGACCATCTGGCCTTACCACAAATCTGTGACCTTCTCGCGGCACTTGCGACATGACAAAGTGCTGTTCGCTCTTTGAGTGTGTTCGAGCAGCACACTTGCCGGATCGGAAATGTCATTCGGCCAACTTTCCGAGTCGCTCGGCGCGGATTAATAACTGATCGTTCAGTCTGTGCACGCTGTGTGCCACGTACTGGAACTCCTGGTGACCTCCCTTCCTCTCCCCTGCTCCGCCGGTAGATGGAGGAGGAGGACCCGGTGCCCGAGATTTCGCGGGCCCACTTCGAGGAGGCGATGAAGTTTGCGCGTCGCTCCGTGTCCGACAACGACATCCGCAAGTACGAGATGTTCTCGCAGACGCTGCAACAGTCGCGCGGCTTCGGACAGAATTTCAGGTGAGTGCAATTTCAGAGTTTCAGTCCGACCAACGGCCCGACCTCACACTTGCAGATAGCTATAGGCTGATGGAGACTAGACAATCTGTAATTGTAAAAATTGCATTTAATTTTTTTTCTTTTGACATGTATTATTGAAAGAGAGCAATGGTTCAGGTGAGTTATGTTCGTTACAAGCTTCACTTTTCGGCTATGCCTTATATACTTTGTGCATTTACGGTGAATTTATCGCTATCGCTTCCATTGCGTCGATCGATGCAGCGCTTTACTCTTGCTTGATTCCGTGTCTCTAAGCTGGTGCGCGGCCCGTGTTCACCCCGTGTCTGACGCCCCCGTGCGTCCCGCGCTGGCAGGTTCCCCACCAACCAGGGCGGCGGCTCGCAGCCGGCGGCCGGCGGCGCTGGCGGACAGGGCTCCGGCGGCGGCAACTTCCAGGACGACGGGGAGGATGACCTGTACAGCTAGACTGTCGGCCAGCGCGCTGTGACGCCTCCGCGCCGGCGCGGCCCAGCCCACGGGTGCGGGCCGGGCGGCGCTCACCGGCGACATAAGTTATTCTCTGTCTGCGCCGGCCGCGGGTGGGGGCGTGCCCGGGGGCCGACACCGGGCCGCGCGGTCCGCCGGACGCGGCCAGCTCGGCGCCAGAGAGTGCGCGGCACTATCACGGACCGATACCGGCGGCCGGCCGACACGCGGGAGCGAAATGTGCATAGAGCATTTACACGGAATACGTTCATTGTGTGTCGACGAGTTCTTCAATAAACGGCTGCAGCCCAACGCCGTTTTTTGGTGGGGTGGTGAAACAGTCCAGAGGGTTGAGCTTATTGTCTCCTTGAAATGTTTTGTGAAACTGAAGGTTAAACGTCTTTTTTTATGGCCAAGTGGTCACGATGCATGGTAGGAAATCAGACATCCGAAAACTTTGTGCCGAGATTTATAGTTAAAGTGCAGTTGTTGCATAATGCATAAATTGAGACCATGTAAGGGACGGTAACCAGACAACGTGCTTTCTCCAGCATATGTATAGCATATCGCCACTAAGAGACGGACGGCTTATCCCCTGGGTCACACGGAACATATCTATGTATATTTCAAACTTACTAAATAGGGGCTGCTTGATGTGCTAGCGCGCTAGCTTACAAAGGAACTCGGAATGCTTTTCTTGGTGTGCATCCAACTTCAGCGGTATTACGTAATGTGTACAGAAAGGATGAGTTGTTCATTGTTATCGCGGCTTTCCACATTATGAATGCTGGCTTACAAGAAGTAGGTATGCAACAAGCATTTGCAATTAGAAAGGCCCATTGAGCGCCAGCACACAACAAATATCACTTCTAATTAAGGCCTCCACAGTCTACGAAAAAAAAATCCGTAACACTGCAGGTATTTATTTTTCCGCCATGCTGCCCAGAAGAATGAGACTCTCGCCGCTGTTGTATTATTGCGCCATGTTATGCCATGTTATGCTGTCCCGCCTTACAGCAATGTGATGCGGCACAGCATGCCGCCAGGCGCTCTACTCCAACGCTAAGTATGCTGTCCCGCCCCACAGCAGTGCGATGCGGCACAGCTTGCCTCCAGGCGGTCTACTCTAACGTTATGCATACTGTCCCGCCCAACAGCCGTGCGATGCGGCACAGCTTGCCGCCAGGCGTTCTACTCCAACGTTATGTATGCTGTCCCGCCTTACAGCAGTGCGATGCGGCATAGCATTCCACCGCCAGGCGTTCTACTCTGACGTTATGTATACCTACTGTCCCGTCTAACAGCCGTGCGATGCGGCACAGCATGCCGCCAGGCGTTCTACTCCAACGTTATGTATGCTGTCCCGCCTTACAGTAGTGCGATGCGGCACAGCATGCCGCCAGGCGTTCTACTCCAACGTTATGTATGCTGTCCCGCCTTACAGCAGTGCGATGCGGCACAGCATGCCGCCAGGCGTTCCGCTCCATTAGAGCGGGAGGAAGCCGAAGTGTCCTTCGCCGGGCGATGGATTTAGGTATGCCGAGACGTTTTTTATTGATTAAACGAAATCAACAGCACACGAGATTCTGAAAACTATGGTTTCACGCTCTCTAGTCTCTTGACTGTTCTCATCTGAGCTTTTTTTTGTAAGTTTGAAAAAGCAACTGTTCCTGAATGTTGTACTCCCTTTTGCTATCTCAAATGTTCGTGAGTTATGAAAATTGAAATGGCTTTTATTGTATTTCGAACAGAGTCCGGAATTCTGCTAGAACATTTACCAGAGCCAATCCAAAATAATTTTCGCGTTTGACTGGATGCTCAGTGCTGTTATGTGACCATAGCAATTAGCATATGTAGCATGGGATAAAGATAATTAACAGTCGATGTCTAACACAAAATATTTTTATTTTGCTTCCTACTCATTCCTAAATAGTTTTAGAATGCTTACATAACGTGAGACAACTTAAAATATGCAATGAAAGCAACACGAGGAAGACAAAAATAGAGTGGATTTACAGTGTACCTATTGTTTGTTTGTTTTTACATCACATACCCATGGTGGCAACAGATCAGTTTCTTTGCTACGAAAAAATAGCATTATCTCCGCACCTGAAGCGAACAACGTTTAGGTGCGACGTGGGGAGTAGATGGGAATATTTGATGCATGAATTTTTGCTCCTCCGATGCAAGCTTCTGAAATTATTCGCGTAATTACTCTATATGCACCGGAAGCCCTTTGTTTCTTGTTTTGTCCAATCATTGTTTTTGCTCAGAATCGTTTTTTTATTTTAATTTATACCCGTTGTGTGCTTGTTAGGACCCGGATTCCGATGAAGCCACGTCCAAGCAATGTGCTTTGACAAGGCTTCACATGGTTCCATTCCGGCTTTGCTAACTGCTAAATAAATTCGTTTGGCAGATCCCTCTTAACCCGCGCGGGGCTGGGGTCTCCAGCCGAACGCGCGGGGCTGGGGGGGGGGTAAATTTTACCCCCCCTGTTATCTCCCGAACTAATGGTCCGATTTGGAAAATTCAAACGCCAATCGAAAGCTCTCATCACGAACTACTAAAAACATGTACTTAATTTAAAGTTTGAGGTCAAGGTCAAGGTCAGGTCAAGGGTACAAATTGCAAGTTTCTACAGTATCGGCCTTGCACCGTAGTTGCCGAAGAATGGAGTCATGGACTGAGACTGATCGCCCAAAACGTGTTCTTAGGCTACCAAGACAATATTCGTTGCATACAATATCATTCAGAGGTCAAGGTCAAGGTCAGGTCAGGTCAGGTCAGGTCACCAAAAAACAAAATATAGAAAAGGGCATGTGCGACACATGTTTTATGGGTCATTTTACTCATAGAATTCAATAGGCACACTCAATAAGTGATATGGACCACCTCTGGATGAATTTCAGGTCGAGGTCAGGTCAAGGTCAGGTCAAGTGAGGTCAAATTTTGAAGTTGGTTGTTAAGGCCTAAAAAGGTGTCTATCTGATGCAGTTTTTCACGGCGAATCGAATGGTGCTATTTTTGTTTTCGTACGAGGTCTAGAACTTCCAAAAAAAGTCATTTTTCAAAAAAATTGTGTGTCGTGACGTCATAAAATTTTGAATAACTCCCACATTTTTGGACCGATTCTTCTAAAATTTGGTATGTAGGTGCACATAGACCACTTCTCTGACATATATTCCTGTTTTTTCGATAGACTCAAAATTTTGGATTTTATAATGATTTTTTCAAAAAAGTCAGTTTTTTGAAAAAATTTAGGCCAAAATCCAAAATTTTCAAAAAACCGAGATAACCATTTGATAGACAAAGTAAAATTACGTATAACCTTTTTTGTTACGTCTTGATTCCTTTAAAAATGAAGATGTTAGCGGCGTTTGAACTTTTGCCGTTTTTGAGGCGAAAATGGCGAACATGACGTCACTAAAACGTCAATTTCTCAAAAATTTTCCGACGGATTTCGCTCAAATTTTCAGGGAACGTGTCAAATTGATGTAAGAAAAGGTACAGAAAGTTTGGCGGCGCTGCGCGCCGCCGTTTTTGAGATATCGCAAAAATTCGCGAGGGGGGGTAAAATTTACCCCCCCCAGCCCCGCGCGGGTTAATAATACTGGTCCCATACGGCCATACAAACCTTCATAGTAATTACACATGAACATAATCTGAGCATGGCCGGATAAAGTTTTTTCAATGTGTCTGTTTCGATTTTCGAAATATCTGTGAAAAAGATGGCACGAACCTCTGGGCATACACAGAAGGGCAGGTACAAAGTTCCAAGGACACAGGTCACGGATGCTGGCTGATGCTTTCATCAGAGGGGGGGGGCAGAATCTGCCCCCCCCCCCAGCGGGTCGCGTATGGCTGAATAGCCCAGCGGGGCGCGGGTTAACTCGGCTCCTGGACCACGTAGCGACAAGGTAACCGATATTCGAAAGAGTGTCAAAAATGACAAAAGAAATACCTCAGTCAGTTCTTAGGTTAGTTCAAAGGTCAGGTCGCCGTAGGTCATCAAAGGTCAAACCGGCGGATAGTTCGGGAGCCAATAGAGCGCAATTTATAGCCTTTTTAACGCTGTTTCCGAGGTGTGTCCTCAGATTTGACCTCAGTTCAACGATTAAGCCTCCAAAGGGCAAAAACTCTTAACCTGCGCCTTGCTGGGGGGGGGGGGGGCGTTTTTACGCTCCCCCTTAGGTTTTTCGCCAATATCTCAAAAACGGCGGCGCGCACCTGTTCATACATCATTTCCGCACATGTTGTGAAAATTTCAGACCCGGGTCGTTTAAGGTCAGGTCACCAGGTCACGTCAAGTGACTTTACCTCAGAAAAAGTTCAAAGCCTCGCTATAGCTACACCGACCAAACGATCATTTTGAAACTTTCAGCGATTGATATGAGTAACAGCTTGTATAGAATCTATATCTCGGATTTTCGATATCTGAGACATAAGGTCAGGTCAATTTTGCGACCTCTCCATTAGGTATAAGTCAATAGGAGAAAATTGAAATGCGCCCATTTTGGACGAATGTCGTTCAAAACGCTCTCAATCATCAGTTCCAGGGATGCGGAGCCGTGGAAATTTCAGACGGCTCCGGCTCCGGCTCCGGAGAAAAAAATCGGCTCCGGCTCCGGCTCCGGCTCCGGGTAAATGTCATGGCGGCTCCGGCTCCGGCTCCGCCTCCGAGTAAAATGATCCGGCTCCGGCGGCTCCGGCTCCGGCGGCCCCGGCTCCGGCTTCTACTCAGTGCATCCCCTATGCGATCAATTAAATACGGGTGGAAGAAAAAAGGCGATGGGATTGGTACACGCTGCTTCTGTATTTGTATGACAAGGCTATTTTGAATACCACATTGTTTTACGCCTTGTTCAAACTGAACTTGGAAAATAATTGTTTCCCGTTCTACTGTTATCTATGTTTCCTCTTAAGAAAAGGAGCCGGAGTCGCCCCCTTTTTTGACAGCTCCGGCTCCGGCTCCGGCTCCGGGCTATATTGTTTCACGGCTCCGGCCCAGGCTCCGGCTCCGGGCAAAATATGCCGGCTCCGGCGGCTCCGGCTCCGGCTCCGGCTCCGGCTCCGCATCCCTGATCAGTTCATAGGTAAACATGACACACTGAATCGGAAAAATGCACAAGTGACCCTATGTATGCCCCTGAGGTCATCTCAGGTCATGAACGGTCACCAGCAGTTTATTTTTTTTTTGCTATAACTTTTGATAGACGTGCTAGAGCGGTGAAAACTCGTCAGATGTGTTCAGCTCGACGATACGGATCGACTGGTATGCAACATGACCCTTTCCGATCAGGTCATGA